TTCCCCCAGAAGGGTTGTAACAATGGGCATTCCCACCAAATGTGCAGGAGTGTACCCGTAGTTTGATGGCATCTCCAACACAAATCAGAAATGTTGGGGTCGAAGCGGTGAAGTAGGGACGGAACCCTATACCATCTAGAGTAAATTTTGAAATGATTTTCTTGTGTGGATACACATATAGAACCTTTGTGTATGTGGTCATATATGTGGTCCCAGTCTTCAGGTGACAGTTGGATTTGTAGGTCAGCGCTCCAGGCCTTGCAAGCTTTCCTAGCTGAGAGATCACTAATGTGTTCGAGACATGTATAAAGCAGGGATATAACATGTCTCTGGGGAGAGTCCGTTGCGCAAAGTTTGAAAATTTGCATTATTATAGGAAACTGTTAAAAATGTTAATTTTGTTGATGCAGTACCTTGACAATGCTGTGAGGTCCTTTCTATACATTGCATGTGATCACCATAGAGAAGACTTTTTGACACTTTGGCAATTTTTCACAATCTATATTATACAAATGACCCTTTGGGGTACTTGATTGTCTTAGACAAAAGAAGTTCAACAGAACTTTTTTGAATTCTTATTACACCATATACAAATATGCATACTAATTAGGTGAATTTGTGAGCTGTTATTCTCTATAACAGTCCTGAAGAAGCAGATAAATCTGCAAAACCCATCAACCTAATTTAGAATGTCCTTGCCACTGCAACAGAGCTAAGTACTGAGCTATCATCTTTGTTGCTGATGTCATCTAGTGTTGACTTTTCCTGATTCATTCAGCCTGGTCCCCTGATAAAGGGCTGTCTTAATGCATGGTCATCCATGGGCACTGCCCAGGGACACCCATGTGCATACGAGGCCCCATTATAATCTTCCATTACATCATGCTTGTCAGGCTCCCGGTAAGACCAGAGATGCGTGAACTGACACAGGGAAACGCAGGCTCAAGTATGGTGTAACAATATAATTTATTAAGGGTTATACACAAATATAATGCACAATATAACAAAACAAAACCTCCAACTGATAACGGAATGTACACAGATAAGAGCAGTCAGGGCTGGTGAGGTGGAGTGGTCAGGCGGGCCGGGTCAGGAATCATCCGGCAGACAAGACACAAAGGAGTAGGCAGAGCGTAGTCAGACGGGCCGGGTCAGGAACAATCAGGCAGACAAGGTACCAAAGGAGCAGGCTGGAGAGTGGTCAGGAATAGCCGACGTCAGGACAGGCGGAGTTCATTCAGGGTCAGGATCAAGCAGAATCAGGAATCAGGCAGGAAGCAGACAGGATGCAGGTACAGGGGCTCATGGGAAACATACACCAAGGCACTGACTGCAGGTCTGGCCATTCCTTAAATACACTTCCTGCAATCAGCCTCAGGTGATGGCTGACTGCAAGAGTGCGCTTCTGGTTGCTGAGAGCACACGCTGGCCAGCCCTGGTATTGCAGCCCACACGGCAGGTGAGTCCCAAACCATTGGCAAGTCCATTCCTGACAATGCTTGACAACTGTCCAGATTTGTCGGGACAGTCACGCTTTTTACTAAGCTGCCCCGGGATGGCCTGGGCAGTGTCCAAGAACCTGTACTGTGGTCTCCTGATCCCAGTATTGTGCCCTCCTGACTCCCCCTGTACTGTGCCCTTCTGCCTCCTTCCCCCCATACTGTTCTCTTTGTGTTGATTAGTCTTTGATTTATGGCACGTTTTCTTATTGTTTAAGATCAATTTTATTGGAAGTACTAATATGTTAAATAAATACATTTATGTTTCATTCTATCAACTATTTATACTTTATTTTTTTGAGTAAGTGTGTAAATTGGAGAAGGCTGGTAGGGGCCCCAGGGCATTACTTTTCCCAGGGGTCCATGATGATATTAAGATGGCCCTGCCCTGATGATCCAACCTCCTTTATCCACATGATCGGAATGTGATACTCCTGTGATATGTGAAGGAGTGCTGGTGACATCATTCTCACCTAGGCCAGGAATCAGGTAGACAAAAAAAAAAGAAAGAAAAAAATGTGCTGTTTTTGGGGGGAGAACAATGATGTCTTAAGGTTTCATTCCCACTAGCAGTTGGGGAGCTGTAAAACCCCCACAAGTAAGCAGTGATTTTACCATCTTCCAAATGCTACCCACTTTAGCTGCAGAGCTAGTGGCTGGGGGTGTACACGAGCAAGAATTATATATCTTTCTCTTTTGGTGGGCATAGCACCTGCCAAACATGAGCCATTCAAGTGAATGAGGCCTTTCTGGAAGTGCCGCACAGGTACCTCTTTCATATTGTTTCCGTAATGTGATGGGGTGCAGTGCAAAGAACGTCATACAGCATTGAAAATGTGAACTGCGCTAAACTGCCCGCACTAAATTGCAGCTTGTATTGAAGGGGTGGAGCAGTGCCATCCCGAGGCAGGTGCAGGGGGTGCGGTCCACACTGGGTGACACCGGACCCACTCTACAAAAAGGTAAATTGTAAAGCAAGCCGGTGATCCCCGCAGGATGGATCCGATCCATCCTTCGGGGATCGTTGGCTTTCTTTACAACTTACCTTTTCTTGGAGTGGGTCCGGTGTCCCCCAGTATAGAAGACATGCCGCCGAACCTATACGAGGTTACACCGGACCGCTCCAAGAAAAGGTAAGTTGTAAAGAAAGCCGACGATCCCCGCAGGATGTATCGGATCTGTGGATTGAGCATAATGGATCAGAGTCCGATCCATTATGCTCAATCCGCAGATCCGATCCATCCTGTGGGGATTGTCGGAGAGGAGTGTCAGCAAGTGTTACCGCACCGTTTGACACCAACCCTAGGGACGCCTCTGGGGTGGAGTTATGCATTCCCTGCTTCCCCTCACTGGCCACAGGCAGCTAGCAGATGGGGCAACCTCCGTGGAATGGAAAACAGGTATTTTAAAAATCCAAATCCTCGGCAAGTGGCTGGGGATTCAGATTTTTCCACCCTAAATGCTGGCACATGCAACCAGTCTTCTGCTGACACCGGCCCTGCCCAAAACGGTTGCGGCATGCTAGTGCAAGGATCAAGGGATTACAGCAGGCAGTGAGGAGGCTACACAACGTCTCCCACCCACTTGTCAAATGCTCTCTGAAGAATAATCTGAACACGGATCTCTCTTCATAGAGCACCACTAGTGTGAACAAGCCCTAAGGCTGTTTTGGCTGAAACACATTAGTGTCCTATATTTGAATGCACTGTATGCTTTTTTGATCAATATACTTTGACATGTCCAGGACATTCTGAATATGTTGCATTGTAAAAATGTGTAAAAGCCTTGTCAAAAATCACTTTCAGATAAGTGTTACAGCAATGACCTACTGAAAATCTACTATCAGGTTCCCTCAAAAAAAGCAAACAACTTTGAGACTGACAGATTCGATTTGGAATACTCCATTGTGTTTTATGGCCGGAAAACCTCCACACAATACGGCTTTGTGTTGATCACAGCCTGACACGTCTCATCTAGTTCACTACTTGAGTTGATCTTGACAGACAATGAAAAGCATTTCTCTCTATTTTAATATGCAATGTGATGTGAAGTCCCAGGGAGCCGAGCGCTACCTGAAAAATGTCTTCACAAAGCAATGAACCTTTTCAAATTTACTCACTCTCTCTAATCTCTTTAATTGTTTATTGCCGAACTCGAAAATCAAGTGCCGTAGAGTGATAAGAATACATTAGGCTTTCATCGCGGCATAATATTGAATTTACTTTTTCGGCAATTGTTTGTATTCTCTAAGAGATATGGAAATCAGCCAGTGGTGTATGAATAGATATGCATTGACACTGTCCAAATCGCCATGGGACCACCTAAGTGAGAGACAGGGAAAGTGTGGCTCGCCTGCACCGCATTAAAAACCACATCCTCATTCGCATGCCATAGTGTACTCTGGCACTGTATATCTCTCCATCCTGTTGTGTATCACAATTTGCCAACAAAATTAGAGGAATATTAATGTTATTTTTCTAATTAGTGAGATGAGATGACTATTTTTTTTTTAAATCAAAGCCTTTTGTTGCATAAAAATACTTTTTGAATAGCAATCCCCTGAAAATATGTACTGTTATTATTATTACCAGCATAATTGTTTTTATGTATTTTTATATACCTGTCATATTCCATCATAAAACATGTACAATAGTAGGTATACAGTGATCTATGGTCAAGCCCATTTTAGATGAAATGTTGGAGAAGGGTGGTCCTGCAGTGTGCTATGTCGAGGGGTTAATAAAGTTGGATCTTCCTGCTTTCCTATTGGGTTCATAGAATTCATAGAAATTGGCTGAGCTTACTTGATTGACGCCTGGAGCACTGGAGGTAGGGCATTTTCATACAGACTTGAACCACCATATCTCTCTGGTCTCTCAACCTTCTCAACCTTTTTAATCCAGATATTCCCTTAAAAATAGTTTTAAGATCTGAAGGAACCCCCTGCTAAAACACATTTTTAGGTGGTCAGTGGAAAGAATGAGCCTTACATTGGTGGTCAGTGGGAAGAATGAGCCTTACATTGGTGGTCAGTGGGAAGAATGCCCCTTACATTGGTGATCAGTGGGAAGAATGCTCCTTACATTGGGGGTTAGTGGGAAGAATGAGCCTTAAATTTGTAGTCAGTGAAAGAATGTTCCTTATATTGGTAGTCAGTGGAAAGAATGCTCCTTACATTGGGGGTCAGTGGAAAGAATGTTCCTTATATTGGTAGTCAGTGGAGAGAATGCTCATTATATTGGTGATCAATGGGAAGAATGTTCTTTATATTGGTGATCAGTAGGGAGAATTTCCCTTACATTGGGGGGGGGGTTTGTGGGAAGAATGTCCCTTACATTGGGGGTCAGCGGGAAGAATGCCCCTTACGTTGGTGATCAGTGGGAGAATGCTCCTTACATTGGGGGTCAGTGGGAAGAATGAGCCTTACATTTGTAGTCAGTGGAAAGAATGCTCCTTATATTGGTAGTCATTGGGAAGAATGTTTCTAATATTGGTGATCAGTGGGAAGAATGTCCCTTACATTGGAGGTCAGTGGGAAGAATGTCCCTTACATTGGAGGTCAGTGGGAAGAATGTCCCTTACATTGGAGGTCAGTGGGAAGAATGTCCCTTACATTGGTGATCAATGGGAAGAATGTCCCTTACATTGGAGGTCAGTGGAAAGAATGTCCCTTACATTGGTGATCAGTGGGAAGAATGTCCCTTACATTGGTGATCAGTGGGAAGAATGTCCCTTACATTGGTGGTCAGTGGGAAGAATGTCCCTTACATTGGAGGTCAGTGGGAAGAATGTTCCTTACATTGGAGGTTAGTGGAAAGAATGTCCCTTACATTTGTAGTCAGTGGAAAGAATGCTCCTTATATTGGTGATCAGTGAGATAGAATGCTCTTTATATTGGTGATCAGTAGGGAGAATGTCCCTTACATTGGTGATCAGTGGGATAGAATGTTCTTTATATTGGTGATCAGTAGGGAGAATGTCCCTTACACTGGGGGGGGTTAGTGGGAAGAATGTCCCTTACATTGGAGGTCAGTGGAAAGACTGTCCCTTACATTGGTGATCAGTGGGAAGAATGTTCCTTACATTGGTGGTCAGTGGGAAGAATGTCCCTTACATTGGAGGTCAGTGGGAAGAATGTCCTTTACATTGGTGATCAGTGAGAAGAATGTCCCTTACATTGGTGATCAGTGAGAAGAATGTCCCTTACATTGGTGATCAGTGGGAAGAATGCCCCTTACATTGGTGATCAGTGGGAAGAATGTCCCTTACATTGGTGATCAGTGGGAAGAATGCCCCTTACATTGGTGATCAGTGGGAAGAATGTCCCTTACATTGGGGGGTCAGTGGGAAGAATGTCCCTTACATTGGTGATCAGTGGGAAGAATGTCCCTTACATTGGAGGTCAGTGGGAACAATGTCCTTTACATTGGTGATCAGTGAGAAGAATGTCCCTTACATTGGTGATCAGTGGGAAGAATGCCCCTTACATTGGTGATCAGTGGGAAGAATGTCCCTTACATTGGTGATCAGTGGGAAGAATGCCCCTTACATTGGTGATCAGTGGGAAGAATGTCCCTTACATTGGGGGGTCAGTGGGAAGAATGTCCCTTACATTGGTGATCAGTGGGAAGAATGTCCCTTACATTGGAGGTCAGTGGGAAGAATGTCCCTTACATTGGTGATTAGTGGGAAGAATGTCCCTTACATTGGTGATTAGTGGGAAGAATGTCCTTACATTTATAGTCAGTGGAAAGGATGCTCCTCATAATGATGGTCATTGGGAAGAATGTTCCTTATATTGGTGGTCAGTGGGGAGAATTTCCCTTACATTGGTGGTCAGTGGGAAAGAATGCTCCCTACATTTGAGGTCAGTGGGAATAATTCTCCTTACGTTGGTGGTTAGGGGAAAGAATGTTCCTTACAATGGTGGTCAGTGGAAAAAATGCCTCCCTTACATTGGTAGTCAAAGTGCCCTCTAGCAGATCATTGGTGTAATACCATTTGCTCTGTACAGTGGCCCCCAAAGTAGGCATCATCAGATGGGGTGTCAATATCAGGTCAATCATTTGCCCTTACTCAAGATGGTTGTGGCTTGAAATACTAGAGGGGTGATTTTCAAAGTGACTTCTCAACAAAATAAATAATCGAGACATGGATGGATAGAGGAGTTTGCTTTGAAGATTAAAAAATGAATTAAATAGTGTCGGTTTCTGGTCAGTTTAGTTCTGCTTTCATGTATTGATGATTTCAGGGCTGCATCATTTTGTGTCTTTTATAGTTACCTGGAGTTCAGCTTTAAACTAAACCTTTCAGTAGCTTTACAAGTTTTCATACATAAATTCCTGACATAACATCATACGCAGAAAAAAGTATCATTTAAAAAAAAAAACTCACACTTTTATCATTAAAGAGACTCCTTTGAGCTCCAATAATACCAGAATACAATGCCAGTCTGAAGCAAAATACTTTGTTGTATTAAAAAAGGTATAAACTTCAAAAGTAAAAAAAAATTATCCACCTTTATAACAATAAATAAATAAATAAATAAAGGCCAGCTGGATTGAGATTGTTTTGTTGAGCCTGATGGGCTGAACAAAAGAAAATCAATCAATTTCACCATCCATGCTGTGAGATTGGCTGTACAAGGAATTGGAAGAGGCTGTGCAAGGGTTTGGAAGAGGCTGATACAAAGTTTAATTCAAGTACTCACGCTAGTTGTGTTTTGAAAAAAAAAACTCGTTCAATTATCTATTGTTAGGCAAGTACAGTATACAGTATTCATCATACTTCCACCTCCTACTGTGGTGTTCATAGATGACAGGTCCAGGGTCCAGTTGCCGCTCCATTCTCCACTGCTGATATCTTCCTCACTGCTTCTTCTAGGCTCCATGGTACTTCTTCTCAGCCATTGGGTGCCAACATCATATATAACTCTTGTCCGTGGGTATAGGACTTACATTTTTCCCAGCATCCAACTTTATGCTTTGGGTACCAAGTATGAGCCTACGGTAGATGTGCACTGGAGTGAAACACAAAAATCGCTAAGATTATGGGACAAAAGTTTTCAGCACATCTCTTTTAGCTCTTATACCTGAACTGCCCTTAAAAGTTAAAGTGCTGTTCATCCACCCCCCCCCCCCCCATATAATTAGTGTTTTTTTTTTTTTCTGGGAGTAGGTACCTTTTTCTAAAAGATCCCCGCTGACACTACCACAATTCTCGCCTTGCTTGGCCCACAACCTCCTGGAACACATAAAAAATCCTAGGGGACTGTGGTTTCAGTCTAAAAGTGCCATGCAATCTCATACATTCACAGTGGGGAGCCAACTATGAAACATCAGGAAATCAAAGCCAGCTCCCTCCAAGATGGCAGAGCCAGGGATCCGAAGCCCAGCAAGAATCGACTCCAGTGAAGACAATACTGGACTCCTTACCTGGTGAGAGTCTGCTCCTCTCAACTCCATGGGTTCCTGACAATACCCAGGTAAGATAGTTTTAGTGTTTCCCTCCCTCAGCAGCTCAGAAAGGCCACATCTGATGAGGCAGCGGTAGCTGGGCAACAGATCTGCAGCCAGCTAAGAGGCCCTCCACTCTCACAACTAGCAGGGTCAAAATCTAATAGCATGCAGTTACTCTGGAAGACTCAGCTACCGAGGAGGGAGCACTTCCCTAATGTCTACTGGAATACTGCAGTTCCAGTGGGGTGTCTCCCCCAACCTCCATGTTCTCAGGCCTTCGATCCCTCCAGCTGTTCACCTATGTTACCAGAGCTAATCTGGAGGGATGCTGTTTATGAGGAAAATCACAAGTGTCTTCTGAAGCCATGTTACTGATGTAAAGTTTGTGCTGCATTTTGGGTCTGTTCTTGTGGCCTCCTGTGACGTGTGTGACATGTTCAAGAAAGGGTATGGGTGGGGAGGGGGGAGGAATGTAATACTTGACTAAGTAAGAGACAAACTCCCCACACTGTTCACACTAATGCACTACTACACACACAATGTCTGTTATAGAACACCATTCCCCAGGTGTGCAGAATTTTTGAACCTGTCCCACAGAGGATGTCCCTTCCCCTAACTCCCAGTGACAATGTCCCATATGTTACTATTGGGCACAGGAAATGCACTTCTCTGTAACTGCATGCTTGTAATCCTCCCTAACTCCTTAAGTCTCATGACGCCCATGCCAGGTCCCTAGGTACTGTGTGCTGCAAGTTCAGTCCTAGGATGTGGGGAACCGGTTGCTAGTGAAGGTGCCAAGCATAACACCCCTTCAATAGCACAGTATATCCTTCCATGTCACCCATCTCCTGTCTGGTTGGCTGATTTAGAAAGTGATACAAATACTGTAGACATTAGCAGTGGCAATATAGCTACCGCTGGACAGCATTCTTTTTCTCATTAGACTCGGTACTGTAGCTTCTCTAATCTCTCCAGTCCCCTGATGTAATCCCCATTCTTTTGATAGGCATTACATGCACCCCTGAAGAGACTTCAGACCAAGCAATTTAGATGATCAATAAAGATCTTTAACTGAGGTAGTTAAATGTAACAAGCACACAGACATCTTTGACACACTTTCCTGTACAAGTTCTCTAGTACCCCTGAATAGTGCCCCATGAGGGAATAATACCTTCTTAAGGAAAGAGTCTATAATAGACAATAAATCCAAATTAGGTAGCAATGCAGGGTCCAGCGTAACGTAGCACAAGTGCATATTAAGTCCATATAAGTGCAAATATGAGCCCCTATTTATATGGTATGACCCACAGGGGGCGATAACCTTCCTGAAAAGAGCAGGAAAACCTGGCCCTTCCTTCTCAGGAACCAGCAGCTTAGCAGATCAACCTAAGGACACAGTGCAACAAATCTACAACCTTTCAAAACTACCAGCTTACAGGCAGCCATTTTTTGCCAACCCAGGTAGCCATTTTTGCCAATCCCTTCTCTTTGGTCTCTAAGATACTGGCTCAGCAACCAATAATGTTGTGCAGCCCGGCCAATGGCGTCCTAGCAACCACTAACACTATCCAGTTCTGCATCACTGGTTGTTAAGGCGCTGCCGGCTGGGCCAAACAGCATCAATGGTGCACCACCTGCACCATAACAATCAGTGACACTGTTTGGTCCAGGGACTGAACATATATGCCCAGACACCAGCTTCTAGCACTGCAATGTAATTGAGCTGAAATTGAGTGGAATTTATCAACGCTAGAGAAGTCAAAATCAATCAGTTCTATCTTTCATTTTTAAAACTTAACTGAAGCTGATTGGTTGCCATCAGGGGCGGACTGACTATTTGGAAACTCGGGCACTGCCCAGGGTCAGTAGGAGGCCCCATGAGATGCCCCTGGTACCTTTTTCATAGGCTTTTTTGAGTTTGAGCAAGGACACAGGGGGTCCCATGATCCCCTATTGCCCAGGGGCCCCATGAGTTGTCAGTCCACCCCTGGCTGCAATGCACATGCAATGTACCTTTAAGAGGAGTTTAAGATGATGAGGATGCCCTCTTACACAATTACCATCTGAGTACCCTTGAAAGTTGAGACAGTGACTGATTAGCTAATAGAAGAGTGCAGTTGCCAGGATGCTGGAACCACAAACTTGAACCTGGGAGTGCTGATGTCAGGTAAGCAGAAGCACAGCAATGAGGGCACCCTGACCGATAAACAGCAGAGCTGGGTCTCCTTGTTCAAACTTTTATTGATTTTTCAGTGCCAAAAGAACATACATAAGGCATCTCAAATATGTGTATATGAACAAAACAATTAAAACAGAAAAGAAAAGGAAAAAAAAGGGGTGGGGATAAGGGAGAGCAGGTGACCATACAACAGAAAGGGATTGCAATATGATACACAGTTAACGAGGAACCATCGAGAACAGTAGAAAACGTTGCATAACGAGGAACCATCGAGAACAATTGAAAACGTTGCATACCAAGGAAAGGTGAGACATAGCAAGCTCCGGGAGGAGAGCAATATTTCCTTGAACTGCATGAGGGTTTCATTGGAAAAGGGTTAAGGTAGGAGAGAGAGAGGAGTGGAGGAGAAATAAGAAGAACCAGAGGAAGGAACAGAGAAGGAGGAAGGAAGGAATGTGACTCCAAGGGGTATTCTTGGGACCAAACCAATGTATAATTCAAATGTGAATGGTAGAGCCTTCACAAGGAGGGACTAGACAGCGCTAAGGGAGAAGCAACGTATCATCAAACTTCAGAAGAAGGAAACGATCCACCTATGGGGTCCATATCAACAGGAATTTGGGGACTGAGTCTTGGACGATAGCTTCCACTTTGGCATGGATCATTGCCTGGGTAACTTTATTTTTAACTGCAAGGATACTCAGAGATGGGGACTTCCATGCTTTGGCCATGATCTATTCAGCTGCTGTGGTGATTTGTAGAAGTTTAGATTGTGATTTAGTAATAGGGGGGGTGAAGATTTAAGAGGGCTACAAACGGATCTGGTGGTAGCGGTTTAGCAAATAGCAGAGCTGGGTCTCAAGCAAAGTTCATAAAAGCACCAAATCACAAGCAGGATCAAGGTCAGAGTTTGGCAATGTGCAGGCAACAAGGTAAAGCATTTTTAGACAGAATCTTAGTCAAAAATCCAGGCAGAGGTCGGTAACACAGGTAGGCAGGAGTAATCGAGAGGTGGGTCAGACGG